CACTTAAATTCTAACACCACCGACAGGGCAAAGATTTAAGCAATATCTGGATTAATCAGACCAAAGAATCCACCACTATCAAATAACTAATGAATAAATACTTATCGAGTGCAAACTGTGTACAAAACTATGTGTTTGAGGGCTTATTTCTCTAAATCCAAGTTTAATTGTATGTTTTCTTAAGTTTGGTAAAGGAATTCATGTTTAGAATTAGAGGCAAATAGGACTAATTTTTTTCGGGAGCCAGTGTTCATGGGGTAGAGCTGGAGCAATAATTGTATTTGCACCAGCAGCTCTTCAGGGGCACATGTAATGTCTCTTCTGTTATTTGAGATAATTCAGAAAAACTGCAGATCTGTCTCCCCTGCCTCGTATACATTTTGTAGTACTGGGGATTGAACCTAGGGCTTTGTCCATGCTAGGCAAGTGCTCTACCACTAAGCTACAACCCTAGCACCATCCCTCCACCTTTTTGGTACTGGGGATTGAATGAAGGGATGCTTTGCTCTCCCCTTTACTGCTCTAATTAGTGATGTCACATACACTCTAGGTGTCAGAAGTTAAAGGAAGGTGTGTGTGTGTGTGTGTGTGTGTGTATTTGGCAAAAGGCCTATTTTAAGTGAATCTCTACCTGTAGTATTATAAATTGCAGAAAAGGAAGAAATTCTTTTACCATTCCAAGAAGTCCCAACATAATTTCAAACTACTTACCTCTTTTCAACTTTTGCCATCATTCTGAGCAGATATTACTCTGCATATATAATTTGTGGACAGTGTGTGGGCAGTGTTAGGGTTTTCAACACCTATCTCCACTGACAGTCTCCACTAACTAATCTATACAAAAAGTGGTTATTTATCCCAAGGGCAGGACGAAAAATAGAACCCAGATATCCTGTATGCAGAATATAGGTTGTTTTTATTTTTCTTTGCCACTTCTTTTTTAAACCTAAAAGATAAAGGCAAAGAAAAGCAAGAATCTATTCCTTTCTCAAATTTAAGATTTCAGCAATAAGATTTTGTATAAATTTACAGCAAAAGTTATAATTCCACTTACACTTCTTGCTTGCCCAAAGCCATGTTGTTAAGTAGTACAGAAATGTTGGGTGAAAGGAATATAGAAGTGTCGTTTCCCCCCTAACTTCCAGTGCTAGTTTAAGATCGTGAGAGAAAAGAAATTGTAGGACTGCAGAGTGCTGAGAAGTTTAATCAGTTGAGGGAAAACAACAGGAAAAAAAAAAAAGAACATGACTGAGTATCATATTAACGAAGAATCCATTAAAATATAACATCATGAAGAAATGTATTTAAAAATAGCTTTTGCTGATTTAAAAATAACAAATACTCATCTCAAAATTATTTGTAAAATATGGAGAAGTGTAGAGGAAAATAAAAATCACTGACAGTTCCACTGAGATAACCACTGTTGACATTTTGTGGCATTTTCTTTGAATAGTTTTTCTTCAGTTTTATATGCAAAATATATGTGTGTGTCCTTTACTGAAATGAAGTCAGAGTCTAATAATACAGTTTTATATCTAGATTTTTTATGATACATATCATGAGTATTTCCCTCATGTCATTAGCATTTCTCAAAACTATGATTTTATTTACTGTTTTATTCTGTTCAGCAAAATTCTATAATCCAATCTTTTTTCTATACATGTGACTGATAAACAAAGGGCTGTCTTCCCTTTTGAATATTTTTTTAGTGTTTTGTTGGTTCTTATCAGTTATACATAACAAAATTCCATTTGACAAAATTATAAAAGCATTGAATATCATTTTCTTTAATTTAGTCTGCAGTACGTTCCCTTCTCCTAATCTCCTCCCTCCCGCTATTCTGTTCCTTCTATTCTATGGATCTTTCTGCTATTTTTGCTTGTAGTGTTCTTTTTTTTTTAATAGTGTCTTGTGGGTGTATATGATGGTGAGATTCACTGTGGTATATTAATGTTCATATATAGGAGAGTTAGGTCAGTTCCATGCCACTGTTTTTCCCTTATACTATCTTGTGTGGTCTATGGTGTCTAATTAGTCAAGGTACTTCACTGGAGTCATGGTTTTCTGTAGTGACGCTCACGAGATTCCTACAGACCCATTCAAGGAGTAATTGGTGATAGAGTTGCAAGTAACTCCATCAGCTGAGGATGAAAATAACTACCCCCCTCCCCGCTATGGCGGTGACCCAGACCTTAATTCTCTCTAATGGGTTGGGCAGACCTTATCTGCTCCATCTCAAACCTCAAAACCTTCAGAGCACCCTGGATTATCTGCCTGCCACTTGCTTTCCTTTTTAAGCTCCCATGGTGGAATGAAGCCTACATCTGCCTCCTAAAACCCCATTATTTTCTTATCTCCTTATACAAACTCTCCAAAATTGTACCTCAATCTGAATGGTTTCCTAAATCCCTGTAATCTTTGTAAATTTTTTTCCTGAAATGAAGATCATAAAACTTCCCTTGCCATAACACAAAATCTGTTTCCTTTTGATATTCATAGTATAAATGTCTGCTAACTTTATAAATTTCTATAATGTTTTCATTTGCATTTTTAGTGCTTTTTTTGCATCATTAAATGCATTGACTACATACTAAAAAGTGGGCAGATTTGTGCTAGAATTAAAAGACTATTCTGAATTGGTGTGGGCATGTATATGTGTGCGTACATGCATATTTCAAAATCTTAGTTTTAATTCCTTTCCTCAAGTGTCCCTCAAATATCCTTTATAGCTGTAGGTTCACATATGATTTTTGGGTTTGAACACATTCAGGGAAGTCCTCTCTTTGTTAGAACTAAACAGGGTGAACCTGGAGAGAATAGTGTGTACTAATCTGGGAGCTAGGAAATGAAAAGGAAAATACTTCACTTGATCCAGCAGATATATTTGATGATATCAAGGATGATTTGCATGGTCAATCTAACCACATGACTAAACCACTCTTGATTGCTTAGTTGAAGTTGTTGAATGAATTTATTGAAAGTCCTCAGTGGGACACATGATAATATACTAAGGCTGGGTTGCTAGCAAGAAGGGATTGCAAAGCAGGCATTGTCCTCAAGGGACAGGATGCAAGATTTATCTGGGAGAACAATATGTGCCTCAATTATGAATGAGAAATACCTCTAATAATATCTAATATAAATACCTCTAACAAACTCCTTCACATTAAATATAAATTATGAGCAGAATAAAGTCAATTCTTAAAAGAAGATTGGCTAAAGAATGATGAAGAAACAATCACTAGGAGTTAGAGAAATGCAATGCAAAATAACTGCAATGTACCATTTTTTGCTTTAATCTAACCCTTTTGTTGTTGGTGAACCCTAAAAATTAGATAATATGAAGTATTGTCAAAGGTGTGGGGAAACAGACATTCAAACAATGGTGGGAGGGTAACTTCTAAGCATCCAGGAAAGTAAACTGGAGGTATTTTTCATAATTATATTTTTCAAATTAACCTTTGACTACAGTCCTCTCTAGGAATCTAAGAAAAAGTAAAAGCACAAGTACAAAAGGAAATAGAAATTTTTATTTTGTGTAATATTGGTTATTACACTGTGGTAAATGTTAGAATGCCAGATGCCTATGAATATGGAAATGACTCCAATAATTGTGGTAGGCTTGCACAGTGGAATTTTATGCACTTATTAGAAAAAATGGGTTCAATCTGTATATATTGTCACATAAAAAGTTAGAGAATCAAGTGTGCAGTAAATAGCATACACTCATGTATTTAAGAGCATTCATATATATGCTTTGTAAGAACATTGGAAAAGGAAAGTAAATATAATATGATGGACGAAAAATGGATAGAGCTTTCTAGAAGCCTAAACATAACTCGATACTGACTCAACCAAAGAATAATTATTGAAACTTTTAATGTGCATAAAGCTGTGCTAGACCCTGGGGAAAACACAGATACATAAGATGTAGTTACTGACCTCCAATGGGATTGAAATCAAGTTGGGATGAAAGAGAACACACATTAAACAAGAACAGGACAGAAGAGTATATAATTACATGCTGTGTTACGTGGTGGTGTGAACTTGTGGTGTGATGAAACTTTGCAGGAAATGTTGATCAAAACAGAGATGGATGGGTGGTGGCAGCTTAGGAATGGACTCAAGTTGTGTTCAGGGAGTGTTCCCTCTTGTATCTTAGCTGTTTCTTTTTTGCTTTGTTTTTCTTCACCTTGGATTTTCACTTCTGTGCATCTGACCTGATTATTTGCTCTTGGTTATCATTTTGTTAATACTTGCTTAGTATTTTGGATTCTGAGTAACTTGGATGCCAGTTAATTCTCAAGGGTGCTATTGAGCTTTCCCTATCTTAATCCCTTGGGATAAGTATTAGATAGACTTTTGTCAACTACATGAGCTTCGTCTCTCTCCATCTTTATTGACACAGGTAAACATGAGGAGCACCATCATCACAGCTCATCTTGGGTGGGAATTCAGGTCATGACCCTAAAGGGCTTGTTCCATTCTTTTTTCTTAGGCTGTTAGAATGAGGGGGTGAACCACACTAGTAAAATTTTGCCATTCTAATCCAGTTCATTATGATTATACAAACACAGCCTCAATTAAGAAGTTTTCTCTGCAGTGGGAGGGGGTCACTTTGTGAGTGAATTTGAGTGTCTGCATAGATCAGCATTATTGTTAATCACATCTGCACTTACATATATTTATATGCACACTCACAAGTGCAAAGATGCAGTTTCAAACTTAATTAAAAATAGAAAGCAACCTAAAGTGTGCTAGCATTTCCCCTGACTTCAGCATGATCTACCACTTTGACAAAAATTCATAAATCTCCTGCAATAGAAAATTCTACCGCACAGAACCATTTTATGCAGCAATATAGGTACTTAAAATATTCAGCAACTTTCATCATGTTTTGCCTCTTGGTACATGAGATTTTTATGTATTTAATAGTTACATATGTTATATATTTTAAACAGTATTTTTTACTAATGGTCCCCAACAGTACATTTTTCTCAAACTCTAACATCTGTGTTTTGTTCTTGCAGCTCAGGATGATAATCTTAAACTGAGCACATCCAACCACAGAGGATAGGTTAGTGGATATTTTTCAAAAGTGACTGGACCCAATGATGAAGGCATCAGAAGTTGTCAAGTCTTAGTGACAGAAATACCTCCTTCCTTAGTTTTTGAAGGGCAATTCCGGATCTGGCATCTGAAAGTCTCCCACTGTTGCCAGGTCTGCAGCAGGTACACAGACTCAGAGGAGAGAAGCCATGGGGAATGTTCATTTGTTATTTATTTATAAACTCTCCGTGCCACATCATGTAAAATTAACACCTTTAATGGGCTCCTGCCTCAGTTGCTTGAAGGACGGGCTTTCGTCTGCCAAAGCCACCCACAGGCTTGCAGGCAGTGTGGCTGTGTGTGCTCTGAACTGCTCACTTCATGGAATCCACCTGCTGAAGTCACCCTTGCACTCAGCTGGTCAGCAAAGGTCTGCCCCATTAAAGGGAATGTTCAGGAAGTGGAGTCTTTGGGGCTTTTGTGGCTGAAGATATGAGTGATTACTTTGGAGTGTAAATTCCTCTCTCGATCTGGTTAATGAAGAGATTTACTCCAACATTCATTTATTATAAATTGGGGGGGTGGTGGCTTCTCCCATATGCCAGCATCCAGAGGGTCCCTTTCCTGTAAGAGTTCATAAATAATCAACGTTTACAATGAAAAGGTTTTGTAAGCGTTATCTTTTCCTGTCATAAAAATTCCCTCATGCTTCTAAGGGAAGACCAATATAATTTGCAGACAAAGATTCTGGAACTGAAATAGCTTTAGGTATGGAGAGTGGATGTGTTGGGAATTTTGGAGAAAGATCTCACCTTCTACTCACTTATACCATTGCTACTACTTCTGAGCTGAAAGTTTCAGTCTAATTTTACAGCACTATTCAAATGACGTCTGGCAGAAAAAGGAACACATTTAGTAACTCAACAAGCACTTATCAGCTTACTATGCACTGAAGTGTTGCACTTCATAATTATTAGGCTCTTGAAGAGCTCTTGGTTTAATGGAAGAGAGGAACAAGTGACAGATCATTAAACTTCAAATTATAGTATTATAGTTGAGGCCAGAGTTGAGCGCTAGGGAATTCAGAGGAAAGAGGAATTAATATTTCCCAAAGAAATCAAGACAGGCTTCAAAGAGGTGATATTTGAGCTTGAAGAATGGATAAACACTAGACAAGAAAACAATTGCAGGTAGTTTCCAAGGGAGCAACCTAGGCACAGGTGTAACAACATGTGGCTATGCAAGATGCAAGGCACTAGTAGTGTCCAGTTCTTAACAAGGGAGTAGCATTATTGCTGTCGTATATGTCAGAAAACAAGGAGGGACAGAGAGATCAAATAACCTGTCAGTATTGCAATTCAGACGTAGATCAATTGATTCCCCACCTGTATCCTTGCTTTGACCCTGCAGCATTTAGGGCTCCCTTTCCCAGGGGGTGGAGTGAAGAAGCTGCACCTGTTAGGAGAAGAGTGAGATACAACATGATAGTGAAGTGAGAGGGAAGGCATGTAAGAGTCAGGTTGTGCCCAGATTGTAAAAATCCTGAATGATGTAAGAGATTTATCTATTCATCTATTGAAGGGCATCTAGTTTGGCTCCACAGTTTAGCTATTATGAATTGTGCTGCTATAAACATTGATGTGGCTGGGTCCCTGTAGTATGCTGATTTTAAGGCCTTTAGGTATAGTCTGAGGAGAGGGATAGCTGGGTCAAATGGTGGTTTCATTCCCAATTTTCCAAGGAATCTCCATACTGCTTTCCATATTGGCTGCACCAATTTGCAGTCCCACCAGCAGGGTACCATATACCTTTCCCCCACATCCTCGCCAACACATTGTTGTTTGTCTTCATAATAGATGCCATTCTGTCTGGAGTGAGATGAAATCTTAGAGTAGTTTTGATTTGCATTTCTCTAATTGCTAGTGATGATGAATATTTTTTCATATATTTGTTGATTGATTATACATCGTCTTCTGAGAAGTGCCTGTTCAGGTCCTTGGCCCATTTATTGATTGGGTTATTTGTTTTTTGGTGCTTAGCTTTTTGAGTTCTTTATATACCCTAGAGATTAGTGCTGTATCTGATGTGTGAGGACTGTGGAACCAACCTAGATGCCCTTCAATAGATGAATGGATAAAAAAATGTGGCATATATACATAGTGGAATATTACTCAGCAATAAAAGTGAATAAAATCATGGCATTTGCAGGTAAATGGAGGGAGTTAGAGAAGATAATGCTAAGTGAAGTTAGCAAATCCCAAAAAACCAAATGCCAAATGTTTTCTCTGATATAAAGAGCCTGATTCCTAGTGGGGTAGGGAAGGGGAGCATGGGAGGAATAGACGAACTCTAGATAGGGCAGAGGGGTGGGAGGGGAAGGGAGAAGGTATGGGGTTAGAAATGGTGAAATGTGATGAACATTACTGTCCAAAGTACATGTATAAAGACATGAATTGGTGTGAATACACTGTGTATACAACTGGAGATATGAAAAATTGTGCTGTATATGTGTAATAAGAATTGTAATGTATTCCACTGTCATATATAAATAAAAAATTAATTTAAAAACATTTAAAAAGATATTTAGACTATATCCTATGGCTTTAGGCAATGGGAAGTTGGCTACAGAGGCCTTTAAGTGTGTGTGTGAGTGGGGAGGGATATGGAGTGAATAGGTCATATTTGTGTTTTGGAAGGACAACTACAGTTACATGGTGGCAGATGAACTTTGGAGGTGGGAAGTGGCAGTGGGAGGCTGGGAAAGGGGAGGGCAGTCCTTTGTAAGTTCTAAATTAGGCCTAAACATAGACCTTACATTAATTGTGCTATAGAAATCTAGGATTTAAGATTAATAGACTTTGGAGGTACACAGAACTGCAAATTACGAGCCGTGAGATCTTAAGCAAATTATTTGACCTCCCTTCACATAGTTGCTATGCAAACTTCAGTCTCCTCTTCTACAAGAAGAAAAATAATAGTATCTCCTTCATCAGACTGTTGCAAAGGTTAAAAAGATAATAATCTATGTAAAGCATTTGTCCAGTGCTTGCTTCATTGCAAAAAATTCCTAATTATTGATAGCTATTATTCTAGGAAAGCCCTCCAGGGAAAGTTCCTTTATCAGACAGACTGTTTAGTGAGTTCTCTGTGAAGGCCCAGAGTAAATGCACTCTGCACACTCCCCGGTGTGAGCAGTGGGGCGGCAGGTAAAATGAGCGTGCAGGAGAGAAGTGAAGGTCTAGGCATTTTACCCGAGTGGGAGCTGGGCTTGGAAGCTGTAGAATGATGCCCAGGGCAGGATGGAAAAGAGGAAACCATAATAAGACAGAGGGCAGTCCTTCCTGAAGTGGCACTTGAAATGCACTGGGGCAGTACACAGATGAATAGTTACATTTTGATAGAATTATGTTTATTTTGATTAGTGCCTTTTCCCTTCCATTCACTGTGATGGTATAAAGTGAGTCTATTTTATAAATATTAAGTAAATTATGGTATAGGTGATACATAAATATAGCAAACCTTGTGAATATGGTCTGAAGTTGGTGGATATATGGCACTCAAGAATGTGGCTTTCTCCAGGGCAGAGACTTCATTGTGTGTGTGCCTCTCTCCCTGGTGTGTAGCATGGTGCCTGGTGGAGTGGATGCTCCATAGACAATTGTTTCATTGAACCACACACCCCGTGGGTGCTCCAGGAACGCTCTAAGCTTTAACATGGAGCCCAGCATGCTGCTGCCTTCTTAGGGATTTCCACCATTGATTCTGAAACCTTAGAGTGCATAACATTCTCTTGCTAAGTTTACATTGCATGTGTGAAGGAGGTGAGAGATGCTCTGGGTGATACTGAAAGCGGAATCATCATAAATGATGGAAGCTCAGGCTTAGAGTCACACAGACTCAGGGTAGAATCCCTGCTTTACTATCAACAGCCACTTAATCTTGGTCAATTCATTAGACCATTTTGGACTCAGCCTCCTCATCTATAAAGTAGTCATCAGATAATAAAATACTTTAAACTCAAAGGGTAGCTGTGGACACAAATACAATGATGGGAAATATAAATACAAATATAGCAAGTGGTGGAAAGTACTTGGCATAGAACTTGTCACAAATATCTAGTAAACATTTATGATTATCTCATTAATATCACGCTATCTATGATGCCTGGAAGTTTGTGACTTTGGTAGGTACAATGCATACTTTCTGTGTTTTGAGAGAGAATCGTGGTTCATCTCTTGCCTAGCACAGGGCTGGCACATAAACCTTTGCTGAATATATAAAAGGATGAGTAAATAAACCTTGGAAGAGGATGTGGAAAGAGTTGATTTCAGACAACTTGAAGATAATTCTGGCATGCAGCCTTTGAAAAGCTTCCTAGATAAGATGGCTCATGTTTGCTGAGGTAAAAGTAAATGACCACTCTCATCTAAACAGATATAAACTGACTATTATGGTTTGGGTGTGTGGTGTCCTCCAAAAGCTCATGTGTGAAACAGTGCAAGAACAGTCAGAGGTAAAATGATTGGGTTATTAGAAGCTTAACCTAATCAATGAATTAATTCCTTGATGGGGATTAATAGTGATAACTGTAGGAGGGTAGGATGTGGCTGGAAGAAGCAGGTCATTGGGGGCATGCCTTTGGGATATATATTTTGTATCTGACAAGTAGAGCTCTCTCTCTCTGCATCTGATCATCATGTGATCTGCTTCCTTCTGCCATAATGTTCTGCCTCACCTCAAGCCCTGAGGAATGGAGCCAGCTGTCAATGGATTGAGACCTCTGAAACTGTGAGCCCTCAAATAAACTTTTTCCTCCTCTAAAGTTGTTCTTATCAGGTCTTTTAGTCTGACTAAAACACTGACCAAATGCACATCAGCCAATATTACTTTTGCATTTTTGCATTGCCAGGGGGTATCAGGGTATCTTCCTAACTCTGGGCTCTGAATTTTCTTTTCTTCAAGTATTTTACTTTAGAAAATTTGCTATTGTAAATTCATTCTCTGCTCTTTTGAAAGTTATTATTATTATTTTTTTTTACAAATTAGTAGGTAATATTTTTCTTCTTTCAATGTGTAGGTACATCTTTTTATTTTTTTTTTTAGTTGGACACAATACCTTTATTCATTTATTTATTTTTATGTGGTGCTGAGGATCGAACCCAGGGCCTCGCACATGCGAGGCGAGCTTTCAACCACTGAGCCACAATTCCAGTCCCAGTGTGTCCGTTTTTAATGTTTTTTGTTAATGCTTTACAAGTTAGGTGGGCTTCCTAGTGGGCTCATTGCGATGCAGTCATATATGCACATAACATACTTTGCTCCATTTCATTTCCCACCAGTAATGTTTTTCTTAGGGACTTGGTATCTATCCATTTGGAATGAAATCATGGAAGGTGTTAGCACCCCAATGGTAGGAGCCTAATTTCTATAAGGGTCAACACAGATCCTAATCATAATGACCAACTTCTCCACTAAAGTCCTCCAGCATTTTCCCATTAGTTCACCCCATGGTTAAAAAAAAAAAAAATCCTCCTGACTTTGGTTTCAGTGGAGCTGAGTTCAATCTCTCTTCTGTTGCAATATACTTGACCCCTATTGCCATAACCTTGAACAAAGCCTTCCTTGCCATTTTTAACAAGTGTCTGCTGCAGTTTTTCTTTTACAGTTCTATGAATTAAAAAGGAGGGGCAAAGACCCACCCTGTGAATTTACTGACTATAATTAAGTAGGCTTGACAGCCATCACAATCAATCAGACAGGTCCCATAATACCCAAGGCCTTTTGACACTGAAGTTTCATAATTAATTAATGAGACAGAATAGGGTGTGGGTTGCTCAGTTTTAATCCTCACTGAAGAGGGTGGTGACAGGCCTCAGGCTGAAGACCCTATACTGTGAGGTCAACCAGGACAGAACTCAGCTGCTCCACCTCTCCATCCAGGGCACAACTGATAGTTTGACTTTTTAAAAGCACACTACTGGGCTGGGGTTGTGTCTCAGTGGTAGAGCGCTTGCCTAGCATGTGTGAGGCACTGGGTTTGATTCTCAGCACCACATATAAATAAATGAATAAAATAAAAAGGTTCATCAACATCTAAAAAAATTTTTTTTAAAAGTACACTATTCTAAAAGAGTTAAGAGACCCAAGATATGAACTGGAACAAAAGACAAGTAATTTAAGTTATCTTTGCCAAGTTGGGCTCAGTAAATTCTGGAAATCAGTCAGATAATTGATTTTACATTTTTGTTTATATATATTGTTCAGATCCGACTTCTTGCTGCATTAAGTTTTGAGGGTCATAAGCCAGTTCTTTGTTGGTTTCTCTTTGACTTCGGAATACTATTCATCCTTGAAATACTTCATGGTGCTGTCTCCATCTGAGGGTCCTCCTGTCTTATTGTTCCCCACTCTGATCTTCCTGAAGTCCTCTGGACAGGCCACATGCTCTGCTCCCATGACTACTTTTGCTTTTAGCTCTTCCTTAAATACTGTCTCTGTTCTTCACCTGGCCAACATAGCTGATCCTTGGAAGGCTCTGCCAATCTCACAGAACAGGGATAGGGTCCCCCTCTTGGTGTCCTTAACAATCTTCATATCACCATGGCATGGGGGCTCATAAAGCTCTATCATTGTCACCTCTTTTTGTCCACATCCTCCACCACAGCAAGGACTCCACCCTGTCCATTCTGTATGTCCCAGCAGAGTTTAGGGACCTGGAAGAAGTGCCAGAAAGGCTTTCTGAAGTCACTTACAAATGAGCACCCTCAAGATTTCATGTTCAGTCTGCAAAGTGAAGAGAAAAATAGGTCTGCTTCTAGAAAAGTGGCATCCAAAATGATTACCAGCAGCCATGAAGGCAGCAATTCCCCTAGAGATTCTGGGCTTCAACTAAGTTTTCTTACTTCCCAAAGTAAAAAAAAAATTACTAGTCATGAATTTTGCTAGAGGCAGGGAGAGGACAATGCTTCATTGATCTTAAGGACCTTGAGAGCTCCTACAAAAACTACTGAGTGTGATACTTGCCTGGTGAAGTGACCCGCTTCACCAAAATAGGGAGTTCTGCCTTTAGGTCTTCATCCTTTATTTGGCTGTTCCCAAACCATCCCTGACCATGAGACTCCACATGGGCTTTGTTAATGGCCTGGATTCTAATGAGGAGTGGAGGTTGGCAGCCTGCACACCACAAGTTGGCCAAAGTGCCTTTCCTGTCCTTGTTGGCATCTCACTTCTATACATTATTTTCTTCTCCTAGATGCCAGAGAGCTTCAAAACAGCTGCTCTGCACCATAACTTGGCCAGCCCCGCTGTGGAAGAACACAACTTTCAGGCGCCATGACCATTTTTTTCCTGCTGTGTACAGACTGGTTTGACTGTATGTCTAATTGAAATTCTTCAAGCCCTGGACAAAGCGGGAAAATAATTTGTGTGTATGTGTGTGGGTGTGCACGCACACGCCTCAAAGTGATACTTGAATAAGCACTTGAAGTATTTATTCTGTCACTGTATGGTGCTTTCTCAATTCAGTTTGCTTTGGGGTTTTTAGATATCTTCAACTTGATGACTGGGTGGTTATAAGAAATATTAATGAATTAGCACTTATATTTTATAAAAGAAGATTTTACTAGTGAATACTGACTTTTTAAAAAAATATGATTGAACATAGGTTCTAAGTGTTATTTTGGACTTAAATCTGCCTGGACCAATGACAATGAACTTGATGATAAAGACCCTGTGCATCTTTATTAGAGATAGACAGTAACTCCAGGAACTGAGCTATTGGGAATTAGGGGGCTTGATGGCTGGAAGCCTCCCCCATCAATGTCCGATGTTTCAGTAGAGAAAAGGCAGAGTCCTGGCACCATGTGAAAGACCCTTATGTTGCGGCAGTCCGTACTTCTACAGCCCCATTGGCTCATGGTTCCCTCTTTAACTCACCTTCTTACCTGCTAAGTCCCAGCTCCTTGTCCTCTCCCCACAGTGCCTCCTATATGCTCCCATAGAACCCCATTAGGCTCATTATGCTAGTACAGACAGCACCATATTGTAGTTGTATATTTGCTGTCCTGTCCCCTCACAGGACTGTGAACTCTTAAGAGCAGAAGCTATATCTTATTTACCTTTGAATTTTCAGAAACTACCATAGTCCGTGTTTCAAGATTAGCACTGACTAAATCCATTTTTAAAAGATTCCCGAATAGGAATCTATTATTATTATTAGTTTAACCATATATTTGCATATATTAAGGCACTAATAATATTTTAGGAATTTAGTTTTCAAACATTCACAATCAAAAGTTTTTATCATTTCTTTTAAGAAATCACAAAGACTTTTGTAAAATAGAATAAAGAAAAACCTACTCATATTCCCGTTTTCTTCTTCTTTTGGCAGCATTTTTAAATACTTTATCAGATGAATTTCAGAATAGTTTTATCAAATTTCCTTTCCCCAAACAACTCCCACTGGGACTAGAAATGCATTAACTCTGAAATAGATTTGGAAGGAACTATCATGTTTACAGTTTTTAATCTTCCCATTAGACACATGATTGCTCCTGCCAGTTATGAAAGTTTTCGTATTCTCCTAAAATGCTTGGAAGGTTTTTTTTTTTTTTTAACTAAGATTATTTCAAGTTGCATTGTTTTCGTAGTTTTGAGCTGTGATTTAAAATATCATGATCTTAAGTTTCAGCCAGTTGCTCCCACCAATCCATCTCTCAAAGTGCCTCTCCTCTTCTGAATCTCCAGTCTCCTTGTAGAAATGCCAGAGTTCCAGAGCAGGATGGCAAAACTCTGGGAATCCATCCTGTGTAGGCTTTTGTCCCTCCTCAATACTCTGTTTATAATAAGTTGGAGTTTTTTTTTATCTTGCTTCTGGGTTAGTGTCCTGGGGTGGGGTTCTACAATGGGAGGATCATAAGAGATAAAGAATAATGAATATTTATAGAGCCAAGAAATGATAGTGGATAAAGACTGAACAGACATTTGGTGCCTAAACTTTGATAATATAATGTTTTTCCCCTAAAGCTTCCTGTTACGTATAGATTTGGTTTTGCTTTTGAAAAAGAATTCACCTCAGTAAGCAGATTAAATATCACAGACGAGTATAGTGGTATTGTTGTCGATTTTACTTTCTTCAAAGATCTTTAAAAAAAATATGGTATGACTCACTCATGTTTTTCTGATGAAACTGCTGAATTCAGCCCATACTGTCAACCTGTAGAGACATGAGCAAATAAATAGTTGTAATGTTAAGTCACTTGAATTTTGTGGTATTTTGTTAATGCTGCAAAAGCTAACTAATACATTTTACTTATGTTTAATTACCTTCCATAACCTGTGAAAAGACAATATTTGGGAAGTAGTAGCATTACATTATGTTTATTGAATACATAATTGAATGAATGAATAAGTAAATGAATGAAATGGTACAATCATATAACTTTTTTAGTCAAAATCCAATTTTAAAAAAGTCCATCTTGGTTTTTTATGTTTTTGTGTTTTGATCTTCAGAGAATCAAACCCAGGACCTTCCTATGCCAAACAAGTGTTCTGCCACTGAGCTATAGCCACAGCCTCTCATCTTGGTTCTTCAAATGTTGGTTTTTTTCCCCCACTACTATACCACCTCACATATTCCTTTCTACTTGCAGCAACTGTACTAAATTTCAGTTATTTATGCACACAGTTCATTAGCAATTATGTTGTTTCTTATGGACATAGAATTGCCTATCTTTTGCTTTTCCTTAGGGTTTTTTTTTTTGTTTTTTTTTTTTTTTGGTCAAAGCTATAAAATAGTTCTTACAGTTTTTTATTTTTTTAACAAATGTCAATTTCATGTCTCCATTTTTTAAAGTCAAGAATTTAAAGATATTTTAGTGTTTACACCTTGGTTCTGAGTTTGAACATTTTAAAATGACTAATTAAAAAACTTTTTGTTCAACAATAGCTCATTAAGATCAAATCACTCAAGATTGCCTCTCACATGAATATTTACACACTAAGATCTCAATTTGACAATTTTAAGCTCTGTATTCTTATTTCTTAAACAACCAAAACATATTTATAGATTGATTTTAATGCACTTTTTCCCCACTCGAATACACTATGATTAAAAGTTCACAGCCTTGGTTACGTTATATAATTTGAGAAATAACCAACAATGTCCCTAGTGATTAAATATTCAAGTTTGCAATTATTTTGTAACTTTTGTTCTGCTCTTCGCTCACTCTAAAAATTATCATAAAATTTTGAAAGATGTCCTCAGTGTAGAATATGTCCATAAAATATTAAATATTCAATTTTCCTCTATCATGGCTTGAAAAATTCATAATTACATGATGATCCACATAATAACTCATTCTGAAAAGTCATATATGGCACTCCCTCTGTGACTGAGTTAATAATTTACTGCTGTGTGGGATTTTCACTCTGCAGTGTTAGTCTTGGGAACATTTATTAAGCAAATGTTCATTTGCAAAGATCAGGATGTGAATGAAGAGGGTAAGAATTTAATGAGGAGTGACAGACAGGTGAACTGATTCCATATAGAACTTTAGTACAAGGGAAAGCACAGAGCTTTATCTTCTGTTGCCTCGATAGACACCTGAAATGAAATATAGAAGACAGAGGGCAGGAGGGAAAATGATGCTCTCCTGCAGGGGCCAACGAAGGATAAATCAAGGGAAAGGAAGATACAAAATACAATTCAGGTCATTTGAAAAGATGCCACTGAATGTGATGCTTTGAGCTTACATAGCAGGCAGGGTGCTGACTTTTTATTTTAAAGTCACCAAATCCTCCCAAAGAGGATACTTTATGTTTTTTATTTTTTCCTCTTTTGATGTTACATATTTTTATTGACAATAGCTTGAGTGACCAAAACACGTAATTGAATGTTAAGAAGACAGAGAAAGAAGTTTCCACAGAACTGGTTATTTTGGGCTTCAGAATCAGTTATAGAGACTTTTATGACACCCATGTTACTTCAATCAAGTCCTAAAATGGCTATGTAACACCTACAGATAAATGAATAGTCCCTATTCTCTTTTTGTATTAGTTCTGTGGAAATATAAGCAACATGAATAAGGCAAACAGTTTGATGAGTTTGGTTTCTTGGGTAATTATCTTAAATGGCAGCTTGTGGCTTCACTTTTCCATATTGCCTTGGGTAGATCTTGGAATATTCATACTAGTGATAGATCACCAGGAGAAACCCTCACTTGTATTATCAAGAAAAACTAACCAGGGGCATTATTATATTTATTTTTGACTGAAACATGTTGAGGCTTGACCACACAAAATGGTAATTTGCACGTCATATTAAAATTATTTTTGTATATTATGCAAGTTAGTTACATAAGTACATGAATAAAAAAGGAAAATTTCAGTATAAAATAAGAGACTATACTACACATATATGGTATGAACTTTATGGAAGATTTATCAGTAGTTGCTGTTCTAATATCTCCTTGCTTTTCATTGATAAGCCAGCTGACTTTAGACATGCCACAATGACTCTGAACTTACAACCTCAACTATGAAAATGTGCATTAGAGACTAGTGGAGCATTTCTGAATTCTTCGACGTCTAGCATCATGGTTAGAGGATGATGAAGGAGTTTCTTTATACATTTGAACAGACAATTCTAAAATCTTTTTTTCCTTTTTTCTCAGTTTTTGATGTCCCATTTATTTTTTAGGAACATACGTTAATAGGTCTTCAGGTTTAATTAATTAATCAATTTTAAAACCACTTTATTGAGGTATTATGACATGCAAAACCTGTATGTATTTAATATATACAACTTGATGAGTTTGCATAGAAGTATACACCTGTGAAAGCATTGCTACAATCTAGTCCCTAAACATACCAATCACCTTTAAACATTTCCAACAGCCCTCTTTATTTATTATTATCATTGTTATTTGTGTCTGTGATTAAAAATAATGCCAATAGTTAAAATACTTATTGTATACTTCAAGAATGTGCTCAGAGATTTAGACCTTATGTTAAGTGTTTTTTTTTAAAGAGAGAGAGAGAGAGAAGAGAAAGAGAGAGACAGAGAGAAAAAATTTTAATATTTATTTTTCAGTCTTTGGTGGACACATCTTTATTTTATTTTTATTTGGTGCTGAGAATCGAACCCAGCACCCCGCGCATGCCAGGCAAACGTATTACCGCTTGAGCAACATCCCCAGCCCAAGTGTTTTATAATAATATATAATATTCTGTTTTAATTCTTTTTATACATATGAAGAGATTATGGATTCTTGAATTTAAACATTTATTCTGAGATTTCTCCAGAAATATTTGTGCCAACAAATATCTTTGGAACTCCATTTTATTATCTGGAGATGTTTGCCATTTTGACTAATGCTAAATAGTGGAGATTTCCCTCCTGTGCATTTATATAAATCTAGGGTTCAAGTTATAAAGGCAGTGAATAGAAGGTCAAGGTGTTATTGTTTAAGATATCCAGGTACTTTGAAGAGCTATGCCCTCAATGGTCCCTTCTTGATGGAGATGTTAAGGGAAGCTGGCCATCACAGCTACACAGTGAGAAGTCAGTGAAGTATTCCTTTCTAAGGTGTTTGAAAAGGTATAAGAAAGGTTTGGCTTCTGTATTTAACTCAGGCCCAGCTTTTAGAACCAGATTGTTCCTGTTTTGTTAATAGGAAATATATTAGCATATTTTACAGATTTTCTTTTTTTATTAGTTCTTTTTAGCTACATGTAACATTAGGATTCATTTTTTTAAAAACAGATACTTTTGATGGAACAGGGAACCTGTGCTGCATTTTGAATGTCCTGGGGGTGGAGTAAGATATACCACTGCTTTATTCTATGTATTTTTAAGAGAAGATACTTAATCTTTATTTAAGAATCCAAGTAAATCCAGTGTTTCCTCTTTAACATCCTAGCTCTTTCTTTTTTTCAGTCTTCACTTTTAAATAGTGTAGAATCTAAACCCTAATGTATCCTTTTTTCAAAAAACAGCTACACTGAACTAATGGTCAGTTTGCTTATATTTATTACAATGAAGTCACCATCCTAAGAAAGACTCAGTTTTCAAGACTGATAGAGACTGAAAAGGATTTATAACCAAGTTCTTTATACCATAATAAGTCAATTTTCTCATCAAAAATATTAGTTACCAAGGTCTAAATGAGGTCACTTTCAAATGCCAGACAGAAACACAGTACTCAATGGTCTATGCTAAGAAATTCCTCTGACTATAAATTTTAAGAGGAAGCAAGGCAGAATTTTAATCATAGCACTGAGAAACTCAAACTGATTGTATCTCTACTAAAAAAAAATGGTTAAAATGATCTAACATTAACAGTGGATGTTGGAGAAACATTTTTCTCAGATATCAAATATACAAGTTTATCATTAATATGTGTGCTTGCATGGGAATACTAAATGCATGAATATGCATGAATATGAATATGTAAAATATACACCCCCACATATATATCATTAAAAGTTGCCAAGAATACAAAGTGCAAAATTTGTAACTGCAATGGAAATATTTTGCAGGAAATGTAAACTGGAGACTCCACCGAGTTGCTCAAAAATTATTTGGTTAAAGGGTAAATACACCTTGTACATTATAATGAAAGTCTTATAGGTAGGGGTGGAGATTAACACTTCAGGCTGTCTACAGAATATTAATAAAATTCAATATATTTTCTAAAAGGTATAATTTATATTTTGTGGAAATGAGACCCTTTTCTAATAAAATTCTTCTATCCTTCATTCTGTTCATATAATTTTGCTATAAATCATCCTGTAGGAATTTTTCCCCCTAAATATTCATCTCAGGGAGAACCTATTTAAATAAGCCCTCTTAGCAAGATCTTTCAGAATTAAAATTACACCACAAGCAATACTTCATCCAATATGCTTCCTTCTATAGGATTTTCTAATCCCTAAAATAATATTTTTGTTGAATTACATTACATTAAAATTGTTGATTGGAGGTGAATTTGATAGCAATGAAGCAGTATGTTTAAAGATCAACAAATTATCCTTAGTCTTTTTAATTGCACGGTCTTCGAGTCTGTACCATTGCAGTTCCTCTCTGCTCCCCATCTACATATATAGTGAGAAAAACCTAAGGGCATTATTCTCAGCTTTACCACAAAGAAAGAATAAGAAAGAAGAAAAATTGCTGCAGGATATACTAGGTTTCCTTGGTTTCTGGTAAACTAGAACA